GCTACGAGTCATAGATCTTCAAAACTCGCCAACTTTTCTAATTCCTGCACATGAACAATATATGTCTTCTTCGCTGCAAATGACACAATGCAGATGTTGGAAAATAAAACGGATTGAAATAATATATATGACATGATATGAAGTATATAATCGTAAACAAATAGTATGATAAACAACAAGGAATTAATTGGCAGAGGAATAGATTATTTTATTCAATTGACTAATATAGAGAAAATAAATATAATAACTATACCTACACAATTATTTTATATTTCAATAATACAAAACTTGTAAAAATAGTCTAGTATTTATAGAGTGCATGCCAAGCCCTATGAATATAACAAAGATGGAAACAAGAGCAAAAATTACGTGGAATAAAGGAAACAATATTTTTTCAATAAAAACATGTAGAATAAAGGAAATAATAGTTTTAAATAAAAGCATGTGAAATAAAGAAAACAATATTTTTTGTAAAAAAAAATCCAACATAATTTGGGTTAAAAAACATCAATATCTACCTTGACACAAATTTCGATATAACGAACAAAATTTCAAAATATCTCCACTTGGAAAAAGAAATTTGACTTTTAACACAATCTGAACTCTTTCAACAAGAATCAATTTTTGTCTAACACAAAAATACTCCACTTCTTCCATGGTATCCAACACAAATATATGAACCTAAACATCAAGTTTTTCAAAATTCACTAAGAATTAAAAATTACCAAACAGTGTCGAAATCCATCCTATAGCAGAATTAACTCCGAATGTTTTCATAGAAGACCCCTAACTAGTTTCAACACCAACCGAATTACCATCCACGTATCTATCTCCAATGGGTCTATCCCTGACAATTGAATATGATGGAACCGCACGTAATGGCGGCAAAGCATAATTACTTATATCCTGAAAACTCAACTGGGTAGTATTCTTCAATATAGACTCGAACCAAATCCCAAAGGTACGTTACAGTACTAAAATTTTTGCTAATTTTTCTTCACAAATTATCTTCAACCTTGCAAGATGTATAACTGAAACCTCTTCCGTCCCTCCAATCAACACGAACACCCCCCGAACCCTCAAAACGCTACCTCCTCTAGAATGGGTACCCTTTTGAATTAAGAGTATTTAACGAAATGAGATTCTTCTTCAAGTATAGAATATGTTGAACGTGATCAAGTGTTCTATATGTTCCATTCACCAGTTTCAATCTGACTCTACCAATACCAGCTAACCGATAAGGTTTGTTTTTACCCATGACAATGATACCTTGCGTCACCGTTTTATATGTTTTAAACATTTCCCGACTGGGACACAATTGGAAATCTCAACATGCATCCAAAATTCACTCAACGTCAGGTTTGGATTCCATGTTAGAAATCATCAAAACATTTTCATCACTCAAATAGTTTTCGACTATTTTGGTCTCGTTCGAAGTATTTGATTGCTTTCCATTATTTACACTCAAATTACATTTTTTTCCACAATTTGTCACAATCCATTTGAATGTGCCCATTTCTTCTTGCAATAAAAACAAACAAGGCCTTCTCCATCTCTGGCCTCATATCCAATCAGATACTTCATTTTCTCATTTGAAAAACAAGGAATCGTACGTATCTTCAATGGCAAGAGTATCACGACTATAAAAGATCGTGTTTCTAAATGAAGTAAACTAAGCGGGTAGTGAACAAAAAATGATTAAGGTCAAATCTTCTTCATCATACTTTACCTCTAAAGTCTCCAAATCAGCGACAATCTCCTTGAACACGGTCAGATTATCTTCCAAAGATCCATCTTTTGTCATGTGATGATAATGTAACCTCTGCTTGAAATGCAATTTTCTAGTTAGATTTTAGTCATGCACAATTGTTCCAACTTCAACCACAACACAACTGTCGTTTATGGGTATTTTATTAAATCCTAACAATGCATCATTCAAATCTATCTGTACGAGTACAACTCACATCTTCACTTGCTACAACGGATATCTTGTATTGCAATCCAAGATCGAAATTTAAAAAAACTTGTAAAAAGAGTTTAGTATATATCGGTGTGCATGCCAAGCCCTAAAAATACCACAAAGATGAAAATAAGATAAAAAATAACGTAGAATAAAGAAAATAATATTTTTCCAATAAAAGCCTGTGAAAAAAAAGGAAACAACATTTTTTTCCAAAAAATCTAATCTAATTTGGGTAATAATAATAATAATAATAATAATAATAATAATAATAATAATAATAACAGCAGAAATCCAGAATCCAAGGGCTACAAATTTGAAAATTCGATTTTAATATCCATTTTTGTATGTTAATGAAGAAAGTTGAACAATATTTGTCTTCTTTGTTGCAAAGGACACTTTGCGGAGACCTAAAATCACCAGAATTCCAAGGGCTGCAAATCTGAAAAATTCGAGTTTAATCTCTTTTCTTGTGTTAATGAAGAAAGTTTTAATCAAGATATTGGACAGCTCAGGAAAATCCAATTAAGTTTTATGGGAAATTTATTACTTTTCAACTCAACCCGCATACACCAGCAGGAGGAGGAGAAAGAAAAGAGATTCTTTTTAATAATTTTTTGGGACTTGCATGTATTTTTTTAAAATTTGGGAACATGGTGGCAATTAATTTTCTATTTCGCCCCCATTTGACTTTCATTAAATTATATTTCATTTTTTTCTCCCCTATTTTCAATCGCACAATCTTCAATAAAATAACACATAAATCGAAAACTTTTCATTCTTTTTTCAACCGCTAATTCTCCAAAAAAATAATAATATCCCACTCATTTTAATTTGAAAATATGGGACCAAATGGGACTTCCATTCCCTTTTTGTTTTATTTAAATAGGATGGTATATTAATCATTTTACAAATTTTATTTAAAAATTGGATGAAAATGATGATTTTTGAAGCTAAAGGTTGAAATAAGGGTGAAAATGTTATAAAAAAAAAGCAATGTTGAGACATTTTACTCAATGAACACTATATGTGAGGACATTTTGTCCTAATGATCCTTTCTAAATATAACTAAAAAGATCTTGTTCTCTGGTATGTTGGAATACATTCCGCGATTTACCTCCCTCACAAAACTCTAGGAGGGGACGATTGGGCCCTCAAGGTTGGGGTTCAACCTTTTTAAAAAGTTTGTCAAATAAAGAGATTTGAATTGTCTATCAGTATATATGAGGCAATTTCTGCCGCAATTCGTACAAACTAAAAAAAAAAAAAAGAAAAGGGTTAAAACCTAGGGATAGCAACGGGACGGGTATGTGATGGGTCGGTCATTCCCACCCTCGTCCCGTCAGGTATTTTTGTTATCTTACCTCATACTCATACCCGATTAAGGCGGGATGAGGCAGGTTCGGGGTGGGGCAAGTCTCCTTCCCCATTTATTTCTATTTTTTCTTTTTCTTTTTTGCTTTTATTTTTTATGTCCTTCGTTAGTAATTAGTGTTACTTTTTTTTACCAATTTGTTAAAACAACTTACCTTTTCTTTAAAAATGATGATAAATCTATTATTTTTGTTTGATAAAAACTTAAATTTGAAATTAATATTAAACGAGGTGAGTAATGGGACAGGAACTATATATTTCCGTACCCGTCCCATACCCACTTCGAGGCAATAACCCTTGCCTCATGCCTCATCCCATGTACCCGATTAGGTGGGCGGGACCCCACGAGTATCGAGTCGAACGAATTTTTTGTCATCCCTATTAAAACCCCTACACAAGTCGTCTAGCATCACCATTTATTTTACGATTGCACTGATTGTGCATATCATTAACCCCCATTCAAATGCTTGTTGAATCGAATCAAAGTTCGTGTCCCATCACAAAGTTTGTGCTCGTTTACATCAACGTCAAGTTAAACATAATGCTAAAAAAATAATATTATTTAGTTTCACTAGTGCTCAACAATCTAATCCATTTAAAAGTAATATTATTCAGCATAACTGATATTAAGCACACGTATTTAGATAGCAACTGAATGACATTAAATAATAGATTCACTTAAATTTAATGTAATATAATTCATTTAATTGAATATGTCAAATGTGATCGTCTAAATTTTGTTAATATTATTCTCTATTTAAATGCATAGCAAAAAATTTCATAATTGGGCCTATCGAGTCCTTCTGGATTTGTGCTCAATTACCATGGGTGCTAAATAATATTGTTCTAAAAAAGACTATGAAAAGATAAAACGCCCTCATTTTTTTGAATTTTAGGTATTTTTCATTAAATGTTATTAATTCATACTCAACCAATTTTATTTATTTATTTTCGGCACCAGAGATTTTTAACCTTTTGAAAATGTAACAAAACTCATCTTTCCACCATTTTGGCCACGTAAAATGAGAATTGCAGTCCAAGTCCTATGTTTTCTAAATAAATAAATAAGTTGCCTTCTCCACTCATTCCATTCTCCAACCCAACGCAATCCACCCCCACAATCCCCCACCTAAACACCAGCCGCCGCCGCCACTATTATTATTATTATTATAAGAGCAAAAAATTAAAACAATTCTTTTCAAAGTTGTATTCTAGATCCATCTCTATTCAAATAATTTCATCTGACCAAATATAATTCGATTCCAATTCTCCACTCCCATTTGTTACTATTACTATTTTGTATTTGGCAAGGGCATTTATAAGTGAGATTTTCTTCCGAACAAGTTCTTCGTATATAAATTTACATAAAGAGAGGACAAATTCATTACTTGGTCAAAATGGTAGAAGGATGAATTTTGCAACATTTTTGAAAGATCTTAGATGTCTCATGCCCCAAAAAAAAATAAAAAAAAAAGGTTGATGGTACACTAGTAACATATAAAAAAGATTAGGTACAAAAGATACCAAAAACCAACTCCCTTCGTTCCATAAAGATAAATTTGTTTTTATTTTTACACAGATTAAAAAAACTTAATTAATATATGTTGGAACTACAAATTTTTACATATATTTTTTTCTGATATACCATATGCTGAACTAATGGTAGTTCGAACCTAACTACAAGTTTTATATGCCAAAAGAATTTTGAACTCAAAGACAGCAAATGTTGAACTAATGGAAGCATAAGAAATAGTAAATACAGACACACACATGATTGCTTGATTCTGAATTGGCTACAACATAATAAACAAATTATTGCAATCATGCTTTGATTTGGGTGGTTAATCATTTCTAACCTCAGCATATATAAATTTACATTATCATCCACATTATCCATGACTGGGCAACTCTGAATTTAAAACATTATTGATTCACAAGAAATGGAAGAACAGTAATATTTCAACGTCAATTCTCTAGTCACAGTGAAATCAAGAGTAAGAGGTACTCCTCCTTCCACACTAACCTCCGGATTTTCGTCTTTGAACGAAAGACGGGTATGCACAGCAAAAGCACCATATCCATTATTTATATTGGCAAATGTAATCTTGAAGAGACGCTTATTTTTACTTGCGTCGTTGACCTGTCTTTGTTTGTCATTTTCGGTTGCTTGAAGATGATTGATCTGATTCTACAGGCAAAACAGTCCCTCCCTTAATGCTGTCTGAATCTTTCATGTTTGCGACCATTCGCTGGGCTTCAACATAAATTTTCAAGTCTCTAATCTGCAGGCAAAGCCGCAAAAGGTTACAATTTTTAAGTGGCTAAACTGCAATCAGCGTACAGTATGCTAATGTAATCAAGGTCTAAAGAAGTCAATGCAACTGTCAGAGATATAGAACCCAGACCTGCTCTTGTGGATCTGCTACTTTTTCCTCCTCAGACTTGAGAGAGAGTCTTTCCCTATATATTGAGAAACCAATTTATCAACTCAATAAGCTTGGATTGGCTAAGTCCAATTAATTTCAAGAAATTGAAATTATTCAGTGATGCTTTCCTAATTTGTATTAAAAGCACTTCATCATGCCATTACATTTATATAAAATTTGCGCAGATTAAAGAAATTTAAAGAATCGCGAGAAGAGAAGCCTACTGGAATGTACAGAATAAACATCGTCTTAGTAGGAATAACTACAAAATAACTGAATAGCCTTTCATGTATAATGTTAATAGATATGAAATATTGAAGTCACATCATTCAAAAACCCCAAGGATTTAAATTTACATGTAAATGGAGAAAGAGAAGGACATACCTTTCTTCATTTGCTTTGAACTTTTTCTGCTGCAACTCTTGTTTTTTCATTAGCTCTTGATTCCTCTAACAAGAAGAAGGAGCAAGACATTTTAGGTCAAAGTGTAAGATGAGATAACGAAAACATAAGCCACACAAAGACACAAAATATAAAGCATCAGGAAGAACAGGATATTTACATCCACAACAGCCTTCTTTTCCTCTTCATAACTTTCCACTCGTTCCTCATTTCCATTATGTCCTAACACAACCTTAAGAATTGGGAAGATTTATATCCAAAAGTCACTTTCCATTAAGGGGCACCAACAATTTGTCAAAACTTGCAAATTAACCTTCAAACCTTTTAAGAGTCCTTGGCCTATCATGTTTTAGGATTGAACCCTTATTGCTTCTACTTACATGAGTCTCCATGGACTCAAAATTCAGCTGATTGGATATATTTCCCATGACTCATAAATAGTCCTCTATTATTACGCACATAATTATCCGCGGAGAGACAAGTGAAGGTCAGTGCAACTCAAGGATAGGAAAATATTCTCCTTCCAAATACAAAAAGTTATCACCTGATGAGATTAGAATGCAAATATTATCATTCAAAAAACTAGGGACTTGTGAATTAGTAGTGTTGAGATGGAATACAAATAGGTAAACAAAGATGGCAGCAGAATACAAGAAATTCCCAATGCCTGAATGAGAGCAGAAGCAGCATGTCAAGCTTTCTCATAAAGAAAAGGAAAATGATGTTCATATTCAAAAAACTACAAACCACTACAAAAGAATAATGCATAAATCAATGCAACGAAGACTATTTTTCCATTCAATTAAAAAAAAATTGCATAAATCAATGCAACGAAGATTATTTTTCCATTCAATTAACCAGTCTAACTTCCAATCTTCGAAGGCAGAGTTAGTAAAAGTAAGTCCAACAATATATTGAAATGAGGACTCAAAATATAAGGTTACTCTGTTATCAACATTTCATTCAAAGGAAGTAAACATTGTATTGTACATTGCTTATACATCCAAAGCAACATAGAAAACTAATGATATCTTCACATCTAAAAACTTTATTGAAACAAATACAACTTTGGTTTATTATATGCATATACAATAATAGTGATTGCCCGTTGGTTTTTCAGCAAAATCTCTCATAAATCTGTCTTTATCACAATGGCCGATGCATACAAACAAGGGATATGCATTTACAAACTTCAAGATACACTAACAAAAACACCTAAGTAAAGAACTACCCTTCCATTGCATGCATGAACATACTTAAGAAATAGATTACAGCAGGAATCAGCCTTTACATTTGCTCTATATATATATATATATATATATATATATAAAAAAAAATTCTTTAATAAATTAAAGTAAAATATTAGAATTGTTCAATAAATTAAAGTAAGGACAACCGTGAAGGCAAACTTAGTTGTCCATTTCAATTGCACGTCAGTGGAGTCAAGTGCATAATAACAGCCATAAAGGCCAGTCTGCGTCTTTTCTCAAGAAAACATCACATGCATGTTGGAGGTTGTATAGATGGAGGCCACATTTTTTTTAAATTCAATCAAATGCTAAGATTTATTACTAAGAACAACAGTGATTCAAATTACAAACAATGTCTGGAAATATAAGGCATTTCAAATTTTGGAATTAATATTCAACCTCAACTGAGAATAACATATTCTGTCTCCCGACATAGTTTACGTTTCTTAAATGTTTAGCAGCCCATAAATGATAATTTGATCTTCGATTAGAAATTACATTAGCATAGAAACAGCAAAATGCAACAATTTTGATAAGCATGTTGTTAAAAAATCTAAACACAAAGCACGAAGCATGTCTGGCATGTATACAACCTGAAAGAAAATAAATTGATGGGATATATCTACCTCGCCATATCATTCAAACAGAAATTACCACTAACAAAAATACTATTCTAGCCAATTTCCATTTGAGTCATTATGTTCTAACAAACCTTTTAATGTTAAATGCTTGTTTGGTGAAGCTTTAAAAGTAGCTAAAAAGTTGAGGTCAAAGTTAAAAATTAATTTTAACCACACATTTCATAGGTGCCCCACAACTTTTCAACCACACATTTCATCAACTTTTCAACCATACATTTCATCAACTTTTATCAAAATCCTTGTCAAACAACCCCTATATTATGGTTCAAACATTTGCATCACAGAATATTTCATAAAAATCTTCAGACTTACATAAGACATTGGTCGTCGATTCAGCATTGGATAAAAGAGGGGAAAATGGCCATTTTAGAATAAGTGGTTCAAATCATTTTATCGAGATTCATCCTAAACAGCACATCATAAGTTGTTCTGTAATCTGCTATCTTGCTAAAGCTTAATTGATTCACTAGGAACACATGCAAATACACGCTACTACATAGAAATCCAATTATTGTCTCTCCTTCCACATGCTCACATATTCAGTGAAAATTGAATTGAAATGCTCTTCCAAAACTATTTAAATGCAAGAAAATAATAGTATTGCCATCAAGAGAGATTTCGACAAAAATTGAGACAAACCGATAGTTCATCAGTCTCCTTGTTAAATGAAAAACTCGATTCATAAGATTCTTCAAAATACCAAAAATAGTTCTCTATAATTATGCACTTGATTATGTAAGGAGCAACCAGTCAAGGTCCAAGCACAAAGGTTAAGAGAATTTTCTCGTTCCAGGGGAAAAGAACACCCCATAACAATAGAGGGACAATATTGTCATTCAAAAAACAAGGAACTTGCGCTCCCTTTCTAGTAGAGTTTATGATTGAGGGGGAATGTGAAAAGTTACATTAAGCGCCATAGCAAAAAGCAAAGGAATCCAAAGCTGGAATGAGAGCAGAGACAACAAGGCAAGTATCCTCAAAAGAGGAAGGACGACAATATTCAGATACAAAAAACTACGAACTACTGTATAAGAAAAATGCCTAAATCAATGCAATGAAGACTATTTCTCAATCGAATTAACCAAGGTCAATTAAACTTTAGATTCAAACTTCGAACGCACGGGGAGTAAAAGTACTGTGAATTTATGGAAGTCTTAAATAATACCAAATTCAAAGACTTCAATACCTGTGGGCCTGTGATATTTCTCTGATATTGATATTTGATTTACCACTTTATTCATTAAATGATTAAGATAACCATTTACGTGTAGGCTAAACCATTATCCCATAAATTTGTTGCAGTTCATGACATGTCATATTATTTTTAAAGATGTTTCAAATGCAACATATGGAATTTTATTAGACAGATTTTCCAAGTTTAGATTGTTATTTTAGGAAAAGTAATTAGGGTTTATTTGAATAGCTTTCAAGTATTTTATTTTCTTCTTAAATTAGATTTGTTTAATAAATAAATACATACATACATACTAGGAGCTTATGCACTATAATAATTAGACTTGATTATTTCCTCTCTCTCTCTCTCGCTTCATCACTTTTCATCTGAATCTTCTCCCCTTTCTCCTTCTTTCCTTCCTCTTCTTCCAAAAGTCTTGTTCTAGTTCAATTGTGTTCTACATCAGCAACTTTGAGCTCCATCCCAAATATTACAACTAAAGATACTTCAACTACTCCTAGCGTACAACAATATATCGAAACCTCAAACGGGGTCTCAAAATATAAGATTATCAAGTAATCGCTTCTCTGTTATCGACATTGCATATGACTCATTTATCCAAATAAACATAGAAAACTAACAATATATTGATGTCTAAAACTTTATTGACATAAATAAAACTTTCTTTTTATATGTACATGCATAACCAATAATAGGCATGCCCATAGACTTTTCAGCAAAATCTTTTGAATTTGTTCGCTATCACATGGCTGCATGCATATAAAAAGGAGATGCAATCATGCACCTATAGCTTCAAAACACTAACAAAAACATTTAGAGAAGTAAAGAATATAGTTCCATTGCATGCATGAACATGTTAAGAATATGAATTACTGACTACAATCAGCATTTGCTCTGTTGAATATATAGTGAAAGGCTGAGGTGCCTTCTTAAAAAAATTTCTTCAGTAGTCAAAGTAAGACCAACCATAAAGACAAAATTAACTGCCCTTTTCAATAGCAAATTCATAGAGTGAAGTGAATGTCCATGAAGGTAGTCTTTATCTTTCTTTTTTTTCTTCCTCAAGAAAGCATCACATGAATGGCGGAGGCTGTATAGATTGAAACTCATATCAGTTAACATAAGAAATCGCTTTCAAAAATAGGCAATGTAAGTCATGACACGCCAATGCGAAGTCATCAACCCCCCGGGGTGCGTCTACCTCTACAAGAGACCATCAACCCCCCGGGGTGCATCTACCTCTACGCGAGACCATCAATCCCTCCCAAGGTGCTCCACCTCTATGCGAGACCATCGATCCCTCTCGAGGGCTCTACCTTTACGAGAGATCATCGACCCCCTGGGGGCGCTCTACCTCTACGAGAGACCGTTGACCCCCCCGGAGTGCTCTACCTCTATGCAAGACCAGCGACCGGCATGGAATTACCTATAAGGTCATCTCAACACTTAGTTTCAAAATCTCTGATGAATTAACAAGGTTACATGGCAGTCACCACGAACACAACCTCTGTGGGGTAGTTAAGACCCCCCACACAGAACGTGGGGATAATGGGAAGGCCAACGTGGGACACATGGCACCACAGCCACCCGGCTCTCACTCGGCTTCTGACGTCTATAAATATCTCCCAAGGGCTATACAGGTATGGATGATTGCATATTTTTTAGCTATCTGAATTCCGAATTTATTTTCTCCTAACGCACCTACTGATTCTCACACCGGAGGTAGAACGGGGGAGAAAGCCCCGACCTCACTTTTGCAGATAACAATTGGTCATCGGAACGGCGAAAGCACCTTACACCGCCAGGAGGGCACGGAGGTTCTTTCCTTAACCATTTCATTGGCGCCGTTTGTGGGAAATATTTGAACTAAAAAGCTATGTCGAGAAGATGAACAAGGAGTGATACTCGTTTGGTTGGGAATACGGCGGAGACGGAGTCGGAGTCAGTTGCGAGGGGTCACGAACCACAGCCGCACCCGCAATATGTGACGCAGAGTCAATTCAGTGCTTTGGAGACTCAGTTGGCAACAATGATGACGCTCTTACAAAACCAGTCGCAGAGAGCCACGGTCCTCCCATTGAGATCGACAGAAGTGACAAACCAGCAGCTGCCTCAAGCGCCACCCGCGGTAGTTCCACCCATCGCTCAGCAGGCGACGGGAGATTTGAGGGTTCCAGTGGTCGTAGCTTAGCAGCTCCCGCAAGCCATGGTAGACCTGGAACAAAAGATGGAAGAACTCATGACTCAGAAGATAGATGATGCACTATCCAAGAGGAAGGATAAGCGGAGGCAGATGGTTTTGGAGGAAAACCCGTTTGCACTTGAGATCATGGCGGTCCCCTTATCTAAAGGCTTCAAACAGCCCATGATAGAAGCATATGACGGAGTCACAGATCCACTTGACCACTTGCGGACCTTTGTAGATCTGATGAGACTTTATGTGGCCCTGGACGCAGTG